GCGCTCCGGTGTCCGCAGCCGCCCGGCGAGGGAAGGGCTGCCGGGCTGCGCTGCGGAGCCGCACCGAGTTCAGAGGCTCTCCGCGCAACTTGGGTTACGCGGCCGGACCTCTGCGGACTGGTGCGGGGCTTCCAGGGCGCGATTGCCTTTCCATCGTCTCGCGGCTGCAAAAGCAGATAATTGACTAAACCCAACAGAAATAAAACAAACTCAGGCTACCTAAAAGTTAGGATACCTTTTTTTTTCCCCCACCCCCCGTTCTTTTACGGTTTTATTCCCTATGTGGAAGTCGCGTGTGGTTCGTGCTCGGCACACTGCATGGGAAGAAGCGGCCGGTGCTTTGGATCGAGGATTTGCTGTTGCAAAGCGGTCTAAGTTCCATGCAGTGGGGCAGCCTTCACTACTTAAAACGCCTTGATGATGTGCTGAGGAGCCCGTGTAGATTGGCATCTTGTGCAAAGAAGGCACTTAAGGTAAGAGGGGGGCTTGGGGAAAAGGGGGATTTTTGTATCCTTTTATATGATGTCTTTTGTCCAGCATCCCCCCCACCTTGGAAGCAGAGCCTCAGCGGTTCATCCAGAACAGTATGGATAGGCTGGAACAGATCAAGTGAAATGAAAGTCTGCTCCTGTGAAAAGTGCACGGAGCTCGCAAGTGATTGCAAAAGCTGTATTTATTTTTAGTGTGGTAGCACAGCACGGTGAGGATGTGTGCTCACAGCGCGGACAGTGAGCAACTCGTCTAGCTCAGGAATGAGATCCACGGGCTCAGTCTCTGATGGGCAGTTTGCATTGGCTGCTGCATTTTGTTGAATGTGTACCCCCGCTACCTCCCTAGAGCATCCCATCAGCCTGTTTGATCTGTTGTTTTTTTGCAGATATAGTGCCTACTATTAATGAGAGGGGGTGAGGGATGCGAAAAAACCAAAAAAAAAACCAAAACAAAACCCAAAACAAACCATATGGAACATTTTATTGATGTGATCATAATCCTGTAATGGAGATTGCATTAAATGAGGATTGCATCAAAATGCCAGGCTGCTGTGGAGAGCAGAGAAAGCAAAAACTATGCTGGATTGTAAATGAAGTTCTTTGATTGAAGGATTTTCTTGAACCATGAAAGGATGTCTGTAAGCTTAAAGTTGCTGTGTATGTGGAGTACTGGAATGGGATGGAAACCAGATGAAGCTGAAATGTGTTTTAATTGACTCAAGCTCTGGATACAGTTAGAATTGGTTAGAGGCACTGCAGTGATGCCCAGTGAATTCTTGGTTTCAGCTATGGAGACCACAGAAAGGCGAGGAGAGAGCAGAGCACAGTGAGACAAGGAGAGGACGTGATGGTATGGGGAAGGGAAAGATGGTTCGTTTGTGACTTTTGCCATCGTGCTACACATCTTGCAGCCTGCCGGCTACAGGCAGGAACCTTGCAGGCGATGTGGAAGGCAAAGGATTTATCTCTCCTTTTGCAGCCTGGGTGTAGTTGCCTGTAAGTAGCTGCGAGGTGCATGGCAAGAGGCAAACAGGGACCTATTTGCCCTTCTCGGACACTGAAGGAAACTGAGGCTGGGAGAGATGCAGTCGGCTCATCTGATCGTGCCTTTTTGAGCTTGAGTTGATAATACATTTTGAGTAATTGTTGCTGCTTATCTCAATCGGCAGAGGAGGGGAGAAGATGTTCAAGTTTATTGAACCAAAGCAGAGCTGAGGACAGTAGATACTATCAGCTCATCCTTGCATTCTTTTTGTGCTCAGTTGTATTCTGGCATAGAGAGCTGAGCCACAAAGAGCACCTTCTTCACGCCTTACTGAAAGGAAGCCTAAAGACAACAAAAAGATTAAGTGAAAAATAAATTGTAAGTTTTTATTGCATTTGCCTGCAGTGGAAGTAGCATTGATCTGCCAGATTGCACAGGTCAAAAGAGGTAAGATAAAGAACAAAGTCATTTATTTATTTATTTTTATTTACTAACATTCCCCCACACACAAAGTTGGCGTGCAGAGAAACATCCCAGAGCGTGGATGCACCATGGTTGAGCACCACCTAAGAAACAACTGATGTAAACAGCAGAGAAATTCGTGTAAGAATCCTCAACAGTACCTATCTGTAACTGCAAAAGAGTTGGCTAAATGCTAATTTACAAACCAACCCGGAATAGCTGATGTTCTCAGAAGGAATTTGTTTTCCCATTTGTGTATAGAATCTCAGGTAACATCTCCAGAACTCCGTCTCTCTCTCTCTTGCTGTGTATTTGGCATAAAGTTGAGATGGAAACACTTATTTTAAATAAAATGAGGAAAGGCATAATATATAAGCATATTGAATTCCTCTTAAGCATTTTATTTTGGCAAAAGACAACTTTTTTGTGAATTGTAAGAGATAGGTTTAGAATATTCATGGCTAAACTCCAGGGAGCTTAGTGTTAGCTCAGTAGGCAGAAGGTTCTTCCTCTAAAGAGGTATCTGGAAAAAAGATGTTTAAATTTCAAGCCATATTCAGTAGAGACTGTTGGTTTCCACATTTTAAAATCATTTTTTTATGCCTCTTAGGGGAATGATGCTTAATCTGGGCAATAAAGCAAGTATTCCTAGCTCGCTTTTTTAATGGAAAGAGCAAGCAGAGTGCTCCAACTGTACTTCTGTATGTCCAATACTCCAGAATTCACTCTATTTTTTATCACATAACAGCTGTGGAAGAACTTTTGTCCTTTGAAACCATGGTTATTCATGCAGATCTTGCTGTGTATTTTTGCTACAGAAGAACTCTACTTTATGGTTGCATTGTTCATTCTTGCAGCATTTCTTTAAATGTGAGCCTCGCTATAGTTAAAGGATAATTTATATTCAGTGTAGTACTGTCTGCAAAGTGGAATTGGCTTTATACATCACAGCCTCTGCAAAAAAAGAGATCAAAGATCTGAACCTGTGGTCCTGTATTGCATTTGTATTCTACTTGGACTTGAGTAATCTCATAGTGGAGCCATTCACGCTCCCACAGT